GTTTTTTAATCCGGTGGACAAAAAAGTGAATTGATGAACATTTTTGAATTGTTGAACATCGTTTTACATTGATGAACATTTTTTGAATTCGATGAACAAAAAAAGTTTGCGAATTTGAAAAGAAAATTCGCAAAAAAGTGAAAAAAGAAAAGGAAAGAAAAAATGGAAGGAAAAAAAAGGGAAAATGGGCCGGCCCATACGAACACGCAGCGTGCGAGGGGGCTACGCGCCTGGTCGCTCGCTAGCGACCTGCGGGCCGTATAGGAATCCCCGTCCAACATAGGCTATGGATTCCATGCCCTTCGTAGTCCACCATGGATCAATGCGCCAAAGATTATTTTCATTATATTCTATACATCTATCATCATAAAACGGGACTACGTCATGCTTCGTCGAGACGACTGAACCTATTCAGAAAACATAGTTGTGTCATCTTGGTCGGTGGTACGATGACCTTCTCTATGAAGTCGTCGCACACACCCGGTAATCTATTTTTTAACCTCGTTAATAATGGCCACCTACCACACGTTGTTTTCACTAGAATATGGATTGTCTACCACTAGACCCCATTAGCGCGTAACTTTTACTTTCTATAAATCTTAAAAACAAATTTTTTAAAATTTAAAATATCATTAGTATATTAAAGAGTGTGTTCATACATACCAAAACATTTGCACATGTATTTACTGAAAATGTTTTTTAAAACATGAGTTTTTGTGGAAAGACACATAAAAGAAGAAAATAATAATTAAAAATGAAAAGGTAAAAAGGAACAAAAATTGAAGGAAAAAAGAAAAGAAAATGAAAGGATCATTATATACATCGACCATTCGGTTTTTAGAGATTGTACCAAACAATTCCCACCACCTCTCATGTACACTCTCCATGAGCTAGAGCATTTCAGTGCATGCATGCATACATATAGAGATGAAATTGCTAATGTCAGCAACGATTCTACCCCAAAACAAAATTCAAAATGCTTTGTAGCTTAAAACGCCGATCCAATTGGCCATCCTTTTTCGCCGTTAAATGTCACACAGTGTGATCATAAAAAATAGATCTCATATTAATATATTCCGATGACTTTATTTCCCGAGTTAAAAAATTCCAATCTATTAATTAGTATGTGAGTTGCCGAGTTGCTCATACAGTAGTTATCCAACATGAAAAACTAGAACCGTTTTGCAATGTTTCAATGATTTTTCTAGGTCAAAAGTTATCACCTGATACTATAAGAGCTACCATACTTTTCATAAGTCATATCAGCATCAAACTTTTCTCGGTTGGGTGTGTTGGACAACTATTTTAAGCTTGAAAGTTACCAAATGATTAACTTTTGATTTACCAAACAGTTCGAGAATAGTTCTCAACTTCGAAACTAAAGATTTCTAAAAGATGTGTTTGTCGGGAATTACCGAACTACTCACCTGAATTTATTGGATCCCCAAACTATATCTTGCCCAACCAATCGATCATGTTACTACTTTACTTCTATGGTGTATGTGTGACCAAGACAACTATGTAACTACATTTTAGTTGTTGTATAGTTGTAACATGGGTAGCTAGATAACCTACATAATTTACATGTTGATAACTATATACTTGGGTGTTGGGTAACTATCCTAAGTAGTTATCAAGCTAATAATGTATGAGTTACTTGGTGTTTGGGTAACTATATAATTATCGTGTTGGTAACCGTAGCATATGCAGCCAGGTAAGTACAAAATTATTATGTAGTAGTTGTGTCATATGCAGCTAGATAACTAGATAATTATAGTGTTAGTAACCGTAGCATATGCAGTTAGATAAATACATCTGAAAAATCATAGTCAACGCTGAAAGAAAATAACGTGCGGGATTAGCGGGTGGAGAAAAAAAGATGGTTGTGAGATCTCAACCACCTCGAGCATCTTGAGCGCGAGATGCAGATCGAACAGTATGGGGGTGCATTAGGATCTGTCGTAGATTTCCGATAGTTCGGAAATTAGGTTTCTCGATACATATTTATTCTCTCAATACTTACTAATTAGTACTCCCTCTGTCCCCAAATAGATGGAGTATAAATTCAGTCAAAAAGTCAATTCACTCTAAGTTTGACCAAATATATAGAAGATAATATCAACAATAATAATATTAAATAAATAGATTATAAAAATATACTATCTAATTGTGGATATAATGATATTAATGTGGTGTTGTTTATATTCATACTTTTACTTGGTCTAATTTAGAAAGCATGGACTTCTTGACTGAATTTATGCGCTATCTATTTGAGGGACGGAGGTGGTAGGATACAATCCCTCACACAGATTGTACACTAGAATTGGTTTGTTGGTTCTTACCGGATGCCATGAACGCCATATGCGTGATCTTTATGCATCTGCATACATATATACTCTCTCTGTTTCTGTTCAACTGACAATATCTTCATCGCTTCAGTTTGCAATTACCTAATACATGATCTTTTTTTGCGGTACATTTATATTCTAATAGATACATATCTTTGAAATGTTCTGAGATTTTTTTTTGAGATTTGCAATTACCTAATCTCTGTATATACATACTCATTTTCACACCTTTGTGTGTCCATGCATTTCTTTTCCTTTACTTAAACCCACATTGATGATTAGTATATTGTTTTTTTATGCAAGATCTGATTTGGTCTGGTTATCCGATCTCCATCATTTAGCTTTTGACAGGTGACCAACTCCAACACATTTAGCTTTCCTGCAGTGCTCAAGGTTGTTATTGCCACATGGTCCATAGCATGTCCGCTGACTCGAGCTCACTTATATGGTAGATAATACTAGGTTATAGGTCTTTGAGCACGATTTGTTTTGAAACATTTGTAGGCACATGTTAAAATTGTTTGTTTACTTCGGTGGAGTGGTTAACTTGTCAGCTGCTTGTTCAATTGTTTCTGAATATATATGTTTTGACAGGATTTCTGAATTTACTATCGGATGAGCGTATGGACCCTCTACTAATTGTTGCTTCTTTAGATGACTTGACAATCATTGCAATTGCGAAGAAGATAGTAAAATACCAAGTATATGTGCTATATATATCATGTCTACGCAGCTCTTACATTTGTCGACATCAGAGGCCATGGCGCATCACTTGGTTGCAGTACACCACCTCATGCATGAGACGCCTCTACAAGCAGTGCTACTTCTATTGCTACTACTGCTACTGCGCTTCGCCACAACAAGTAGTAGCAAGAAGCAGGCCAATAGAAAGCGTCTCCCTCCTTCCCCTCCAGGCCTCCCTGTGATAGGCCACTTGCACCTGGGCCGAGATCACGTCTCACTATGCAACCTCGCCAAGAAGCACGGCTCGGACGACGGCTTCATGCTCCTCCGTCGCGGCGCCGTCCGGCACCTCGTTGTGTCGTCCCCACGCGCCGCCAGGGCGATCATGCAGACGCATGATCACCTGTTCGCGTCGCGGCCAACATCCATGGTCGCCCACGAGCTCCTATATGGGCCGATGGACGTCGTCTTCGCCCCCTACGGCGAGCACTGGCGGCTGGCGAGGAAGCTCGTCGCCACGCATCTGCTCAGCGTTAAGAAGATCCAATCGTACCGCCTCGCCCGTCAGCAAGAGGTCCGCACACCTTTCTCATTACATCATTCCTTCCTGGCGGTTCGGCTATGGTTGCCTTTGTTTTACTCTACAATTTTACTTAATAGTCAAACAGAATGATTGTGTGTATCAAAATGATCTGGAGGTCAAGGGTTTCATCCTTCTTTATTGAAAGTTTTTATATTTTTTGCATCATTCCCGATCACTATCACCTTTCTTTCTTGGCATAAGGTTATTGACTGATGTATATGTATTGTAAAGGTGAGCCTGGTAATGGCCGTGATACGGGAGTCGGCGGCTGCGAGCACGGTGATCGACATGGGTGAGATGATGAACACCTTTGTGAATGACATGGTGTGCCGCGCCTTGTCCGGGAAGTTCATCATGAAAGAAGGCCGGAACAAGATATTCAGAGAGCTGATCGAGGCGAACTCAGCTCTCTTTGCAAGTTTCAACCTGGAAAACTGCTTCCCAAGGTTAGCATGGCTCACTAGATCTAATGTTTGTAACAAGGCCAAGAATGTGAACAGAAGATGGGACGATCTGCTCGAAAAGATAATACAAGACCACTAGAAACTATCATTGTTGCCACCACATGGCAGGCACGATGCCACACAGGAAGAAGGGAGTGACTTCGTTGATGTACTTCTATCGGTTCGGCAGCAGAAAGACTATGATGGTATCACCAGAGAGCAAATCAAGGCCATCTTAATGGTGAGTGTAGTACTGCTTCAGTAACTAGTTAACCACACCGTTTTTTCTAATCTAAGCCGTTTGAGATTTTCCTATGTGTAATGTCAGTTTAGTGCTTGCACTTTTTCCTAAGCAGAAGTTGCATTTTTTAGAATCGATTTGGACACAAAAAGTCTAAAATGACTTAATTTACACCGACCCTTAATAACTACTCCCTCCGTTCGGAATTACTTGTCTCGAAAATGGATGTATCTAGACGTCTAGATACATTCATTTCCGAGACAAGTAATTCCGAATGGAGGGAGTATCAAATATGTACAAGAATATGGATAGGTGTGGCTAGACCCGGGTGAAACATTTTCTCAAAAAAACAAAATCAAATGGAATCCAATAATTCTGATTTTTTAGCGACATCAAACATGATAAAATGTTTTAGCTTGTTGCAAAAGTTCATCCATAAATAACATTCAAGGAGCTCTCAACAAAAAATAATCATTTACTAAAAAAGTGCACAATGACTAGTCATGACTTACTACCACTATTAATTTATTTTTTCGAGGAGAAATACTTGTATTACTCAATCACTAAGTCTTTATAATCATCGGCTGCAATATCTAGAATCTCGGTAGGACCCTATTAATTGTTGATGACAACAAATGCACGTATGCAGGACATGTTTGCTGCGGGGCACGGACACATCGTCCTTCGCCTTGGAGGTAGCTATGGCTGAGATCATGTGCAACCCTCGGGTCATGACTAAGCTACAAGCCGAGGTGAGAAACAACACACCGAAGGGGCAAGATATGGTCGAGGAAGAGAACTTAGCCAACATGACATATTTGAAGGCCGTGGTGAAGGAAACGCTTAGGCTGCACCCGCCGCTACCGCTCCTCATCCCTCATCTTTCCATGGTAGCGAGCCAAGTCGACGTCGCTGGATACACGGTCCCTTCTGGAGCATGGGTCATGGTGAACACATGGGCTATCAACAGAGACTCTGAGTGGTGGGAGAAGCCAGAAGAGTTCCTACCGGAAAGGTTCATAGAGGGTGGTAGTGCCTCGGCGGTGGACTTGAGGGGGAATGACTCTCAGTTTTTGCCGTTTGGAGCTGGTAGGAGGATCTGCCCTGGTATCAACTTCGGGCTGGCGACCATCGGGCTCATGCTGGCAAACCTTGTGTACTGTCATGACTGGGAGCTGTCGCCCGACATAGGCAAGAAGGGTATTGACATGACCGAAGTGTTTCGCCTAAGCGTCCGACGGAAGGAGAAACTGATGCTTGTTCCCAAGAACCACTCAAGTGTGTGATCGTACGTCTCACATCACTCCTGCTTTTCTGTTTGTTATCATTGAATAATAAACTATGTTGCCAACTGAACTAGCAAAGTAGCCCTCGCACTTGCATATGCAAGGGCTATATTCGTGTATTGAAAGTGTGTTTGAAATATGAATTTATGGCGGGGGGAGAGGGGTGTACTAATTTTTCCTGGAATATGCAAGATTGCGTATCTTTTCATTGATAGAGAAAAGAGAGAAAATACAAGAGTATACACCCACGCTACATACACAGAGAGGCGTGGCTCGGTCTGGTTTGAGCAGAAGAAGGGGGATGCTCAGCCCCCAAACACTAAAGTTTAGGTTACACGAATAATCATGCTAAGCCCTTCCGCGTCGGCGACAACCCAGTAGCGCGCTTCATCCTTGATTGCGGACAACAGATGTGTTGAGGAGGATTGGAGGCCGTCGAACATAGCAGTGTTCATGTGCTTTCACAGAGACCATGCGGTGAGAATGGCGATCGAGCCCAGGCGAGAACCATCCCTTACCCACCTCCTCTCCCTCGCCGCCGCCAAGGGGCGCGGCAGGGGGAAGCTTGATCGGTGCCGGCGGCGGCAGGGACTTCCTGCCCTCTCGCTTGGCCATCTTGCTGGAGCGCCGCGCGTGCGTCGGTCGAAGCGGTGCGGCGAAGTTGGCAGCGTGGTGGCAGGAGACGGTGGCGGTGTGTGGCGTGAAGGCCGTGGAGGCTTCGGTTGTGCCATGGCCGACGAGGGCTGCAGCGGCGTGGGTTGTGGTGAGGTCGACGTCCTTTGGTGCGGAGCGGGCGTTGGCTCCTTCGGCGAGCCTCTTGGGTTGAGGGTGGATGCTGATCTAGAGTGGGACATCGTGGTGGAGCGGCAAGCGGGTGTGCCATGTGGGGAGCCTGGCTAGAGAGACGGGGGATACGACGGTCCTCTGGCCTCCCGTCGCCGGCGTAGGGGTGCTGTTACACCCACAATGCGGCTATATCTCCCATGTGTCGAGGCACGACTTAAAGCATAATCGCATGGTGGTTTAGTTGCAAGTGGGGTAATCTTCACACAATCCCATGTACTGGATAAGAATGGGATAAAGAGTTGGCTTACAATCGCCACTTCACACAAATAACAAGTTAAACATATATCATCCAAAATACAATCAAGGTCCGACTACGGAACCAAAATAAAAGAAGACAACCCCAAATGCTAGATCCCCGATCGTCCCAACTGGGCACCACTACTGATCAACCGGAAGAGACGCATAACAACGATCAAGATCTTCATCGAGCTCCCACTTGAGCTCGGTTGCATCACATGCACTGGTATCATTGGCACCTGCAACTGTTTGGAAGTATCCGTGAGCCACGAGGACTCAACAATCTCACACCCGCGAGATCAAGACTATTTACGCTTATGGGTAGGATAGGGTAATGAGGTGGAGCTGCAGCAAGCACTAAGCAAATATGGTGGCTAATGCTACCTCTTTTAGCACTGCGTTGGTTTTCCCCGAAGAGGAAGGGATGATGCAGCAAAGTAGCGTAAGTATTTCCCTCAGTTTTTGAGAACCAAGGTATCAATCTAGTAGGAGGTTACGCGCGAGTCCCTTGCACCTACACAAAACAAATAAATCCTCGCAACCAACGCAAATAGGGGTTGTCAATCCCTATAGGGCCACTTACGAGAGTGAGATCTGATAGATATGATAAGATAATTTTTTTGGTATTTTTATGATAAAGATGCAAAGTAAAATAAAAGCAAAGTAAATAACAAAGTAGTAGGAGATTGATATGATAAAGATAGACCCGGGGGCCATATGTTTCACTAGTGGCTTCTCTCGAGAGCATAAGTATTCTACGGTGGATGAACAAATTACTGTTGAGCAATTGACAGAATTGAGCATAGTTATGAGAATATCTAGGTATGATCATGTATATAGGCATCACGTTCGAGACAAGTAGATCGACTCCTGCCTGCATCTACTACTATTACTCCACTCATCGACCGCTATCCAGCATGCATCTAGAGTATTAAGTTAAAAACAGAGTAACGCCTTAAGCAAGATGACATGATGTAGAGGGATAGACTCATGCAATATGAAGAAAACCCCATCTTGTTATCCTCGATGGCAACAATACAATATGTGCCTTGCTGCCCTTACTGCCACCGGGAAAGGACACCGCAAGATTGAACCCAAAACTAAGCACTTCTCCCATTGCAAGAAAGATCAATCTAGTAGGCCAAACCAAACTGATAATTCGAAGAGACTTGCAAAGATAACCAATCATACATAAAAGAATTCGGAGAACATTCAAATATTATGCATAGATAGACTTGATCATAAACCCACAATTCATCGGTCTCAACAAACACACCGCAAAAAGAAGATTACATCGAATAGATCTCCACAAGAGAGGGGGAGAACATTGTATTGAGATCCAAAATGAGAGAAGAAGCCATCTAGCTACTAACTATGGACCCGTAAGTCTGAGGTAAACTACTCACACTTCATCAGAGGGGCTATGGTGTTGATGTAGAAGCCCTCCATGATCGATGCCCCCTCCGGCGGAGCTCCGGGATAGGCCCCAAGATGGGATCTCGTGGATACAGAAAGTTGCGGCGGTGGAATTAGGTTTTTGGCTCCATATCTGATCGTTTGGGGGTACGTGGTATATATAGGAGGAAGAAGTACGTCGGTGGAGCAACAGGGGGCCCATGAGGGTGGAGGGGGGTAGGCGCGCCCCCTACCTCGTGCCTCCTCTTACGTGGCTTGACGTAGGGTCCAAGTCTCCAGAGTTGTATTCGATGAGAAAATCACGTTCCCGAAGGTTTCATTCCGTTTGGGCTCCGTTTGATATTCCTTTCTTCGAAACCCTAAAACAGGCAAAAAACAACAATTCTGGGCTGGGCCTCCGGTTAATAGGTTAGTCCCAAAAATAATATAAAAATGGATAATAAAGCCCAATAATGTCCAAAATAGTAGATAATATAGCATGGAGCAATCAAAACTTACAGATACCTTGGAGACGTATCAAGCATCCCCAAACTTAATTCCTGCTCGTCCTCGAGTAGGTAAATGATAAAAACAGAATTTTTGATGCGAAGTGCTACTTGGCATACTTTTAATGTAATTCTTCTTAATTGTGGTATGAATATTCAGATCCGAAAGATTCAAGACAAAAGTTCATATTGACATAAAAATGATAATACTTCAAGCATACTAACAAAGCAATTATGTCCTCTCAAAATAACATGGCTAAAGGAAGTTATCCCTACAAAATCATATAGTCTGGCTATGCTCTATCTTCACCACACAAAATATTTAAATCATGCATAACCCCGATGACAAGCCAAGCAATTGTTTCATACTTTTGACATTCTCAAAACCTTTTCAATCTTCACGCAATAACATGAGCGTGAGCCATGGATATAGCACTATAGGTGGAATAGAGTGGTGGTTGTGGAGAAGACAAAAAGGAGAAGATAGTCTCACATCAACTAGGCGTATCAACGGGCTATGGAGATGCCCATCACTAGATATCAATGTGAGTGAGTAGAGATTGCCATGCAACAGATGCACTAGAGCTATAAGTATATGAAAGCTTAAAAAGAAACTAAGTGGGTGTGCATCCAACTTTCTTGCTCATGAAGACCTAGGGCAATTTGAGGAAGCCCATGATTGGAATATACAAGCCAAGTTCTATAATGAAAAATTCCCACTAGTATATGGAAGTGATAACATGAGAGACTCTCTACTATGAAGATCATGGTGCTATTTTGAAGCACAAGTGTGGTAAAAGGATAGTAACATTGTCCCTTCTCTCTTTTTTTCTCATTTTTTTATTTGGGCCTTTTTCTCTTTTTTATGGCCTCTTTTCTTTTTCTTTTTTTAATTTTTTGTCCGGAGTCTCATCCCGACTTGTGGGGGAATCATAGTCTCCATCATCCTTTCCTCACTGGGACAATGCTCTAATAATGATGATCATCACACTTTTATTTTTCTTACAACTCAACAATTACAACTCGATACTTATAACAAAATATGACTCTATGTGAATGCCTCCGGCGGTGTACCGGGATATGCAATGATGCATGAGTGATAAGTATGAAAGAATTACGAACGGTGGCTTTGCCACAAATACTATGTCAACTACATGATCATGCTAAGCAATATGACAATGATGGAGTGTGTCATAAACGGAATGGTGGAAAGTTGCATGGCAATATATCTCGGTATGGCTATGGAAATGCCATAATAGGTAGGTATGGTGGCTGTTTTGAGGAATGTATATGGTGGGTGTATGATACCGGTGAAAGATGCGCGGTATTAGAGAGGCTAGCAAAGGTGGAAGGGTGAGAGTGCATATAATCCATGGACTCAACATTAGTCATACAGAACTCATATACTTATTGCAAAAAACTACAAGTTATCAAAGCAAAGTATTACGCGCATGCTCCTAGGGGGATATATTGGTAGGAAAAGACCATCGCTTGTCCCCGACCACTCATAAGGAAGACAATCAATAAATAAATCATGCTCCGACTTCATCACATAACGGTTCACCATACGTCATGCTACGGGAATCACAAACTTCAACACAAGTATTTCTTAAATTCACAACTACTCAACTAGCATAACTTTAATATCACCATCTCCATATCTCAAAACAATTATCAAGTATCAAACTTCTCATAGTATTCAACACACTCATAAGAGAGTTTTATTATTAATCTTGCATACCAAGCATATTAGGATTTTAAGCAAATTACCATGCTATCAAGACTCTCAAAATAATCTAAGTGAAGCATGAGAGATCAATAGTTTCTATAAAACAAATCCTCCACCGTTCTCTAAAAGATATAAGTGAAGCACTAGAGCAAAATTATATAACTCAAAAGATATAAGCGAAGCGCATAGAGTATTCTAACAAATTCCAAATCATGTATGGCTCTCTCAAAAGGTGTGTACAGCAAGGATGATTGTGGTACATTAACAAGCAAAGAATCAAATCATAC